CAAAGGTAGTTGACCAGTGAGCTGAAGAGCCCTAATAGGCTCTCAATTACATTGAGTGTAATGGAATGCCTGTTGAAAGAGTTCAGATGAGGCAGGTTCAAATTCTGGCTCTGTTACTATCTATGTGGCCTTGGACAAGTCCTTTAAGCTCAATGACTCAGAGTGGCACAGTAGCTAGAGTACTGACCTTGAGTCTAAAGCAACTGAGTTCCAATCCAATTTCAGACACTTATTATCCATCTATGTGATCCTGGGCAAATCATTTAACCTTCACCATCATTTTCTTCATCTGTAAAATGAGAATAATAATAGAACCTGCTTCTTAGGGTTGCTGTGAGGATAAGATGAGATAATATTTGTAAAGCATTTTGCAAACCTTATAGTTATAGTTTATATATATAGTTATAGTTTGCAAACCTTCTATATAAATGTGGGCTATATTATTGTTATCATTGTTATATATATATATATATATATATATATATATATAGATATATATCTATATATATATATATATATCTCATTATTAGCTCCTCATCTATAAAATGGAGGACTGTAATGAAAATCCTATAGAATAATGGATGTAAAAAGTGGATGTAAACACTTCCTAGCCTGTATCCCACTAACTCATCTATAGGTTCTTGCAGACATGGCTCTAAGAAATCATTACTAGATGAAGGTAGAACTATGCAGCTCTACCAGAGTATAACAATTTCTGCTTCCAAAGTTCAAAAGCATCAATAAGAAATGCCCTGATATACGACCAAAGGCTCACTTTAAAAGAGCTCAGAGGAACGCATTATTTCCCTTGTCTTTACCTATAAAGTTTTCCAAGGCTTTACAGACTTCTGGATCAGACATTAAAGAAGCTTCGGGTTAAAATTTTCCTTATAATATCTTTTCTCTCCATATGGTAATACCTTATCAGTTAATGAGATACGTAATTATCAGGGCTCACCATTTTTTCAACTGAGCATGCCTCTTTCCACTATTCCAATGAACCTAACAGGATGTCCAACTTATGCCTTTCCGATGCTAAAAGAAGTTTAAGCATTGAGTAAAAATAATTCCAAATTTATTTTGGGCCCCAAAGCTCTTTCTCATCTCCCTCCCATCCTCCTTATCCCTTTTCCAAAAGAGCAATATTCCTCAAATTAAAATGATAAGTTGTAGCATAAAGTTGCCACATTTTTAGCATGTTGGCTGAAGCCCCTAAGAGAACTCCTTGCTCTGGGTAGACCCTGCTAGCTCCCATGATTATAGTTTCTTGGAAAGATAGGGGGATGGCCTAGTTCAATGTTGGGGACCCTGCTCCTCAGGATGGGGATGAGGAAGACAAGAGTAATGAAGGGAATTTCACTTTGGCCTAGCCCTAGACATCCAAAGTACCCACGAAAATTACTTCATAACCATATTTAGTGGGTGAGTAGCCTTTTCAGCCCTTTAAAATAAAATGACTAAGCAGGTTAAAAAACCAGAATATGTAAACAGAGTTTTTAAAAATTAGAATATATCACATAAAAATGTAAAATTAATGACCTGGCCCACTAGAAACATATACTCTTTATCAACCAATTGAATCTACATGCATTTATACAGTGCTTATTATGTGCCAGTCATTGTTTCATGATTTATGAATGTTTGAATGTTTCATGATTTATATTTTTGTTAATTTAAAATGTTTTATAAAATGTTAGAGAAAAGTTTGGAAAATAACATTTTATAGCTCCTCCAATTGTTGCCTATATTATTTCACTTGATCCTCACAACAGAGACAGACAGGTCATTTATTACTATTCCCATTCTACAAATGAGAAAAGCAAGGCTCACATAGTAAATGGCCAAGCCAGGAGTCAAACCCATGTCTTCCAACTCCAAGTCTACTAGGGACAGTCTTTCTGGAAGATACAGGCTTGAGTTCAATTTTGAGTGGATGGAGGGAGATGATTCACAGCTTTTCTAGCAATAAGGGATGATATGGAGAAAAATGTGGGAACAATAACAAAAATTTCCAAAAAGAAGAACTCAATAGATGGGTGGTGAAGTATACGCTTAACCTTTAACTTCAACCATGAATGGTCTGGGAGAGAGTATTGAAAGTCAATGTGGGTCCTTTTTAATGTGGTTTTTATGACAATGACTAAGCCTGGAGGGAATTTTATAGGTCACATAAAAATATGAAACTAATTTCAAGCTTCCTGCTCTCTATATTGGGTTGCGTTTCATTTCTGTATGGCATGTCCAATTAAAAACAGATCAGTTCACCAAAATAAGAGTACGATGCAGGGCAATGGGTTTCCAAAGAGACAGAGATCCATGCTTTTTGAGCCTTGTTTCAGTATAATGCTCATCTCCTAGACATCCAAATTGCTGGACCAACTGAGAAAAGCATCGTGAGGACCTGTCCACCAACAATCAAGGAGACTCACATTATTAGCATGCAGGGTAAACAGTTTATATGTTGAGGATATTGTCAATCCCCTTCTCATCTTCCTTGGCTTGTCATTACTAGCATCTGGTTCTATTCTTTCCATGGAAAAATAAAGGTTGGGAAAGGTCAGTGTAAACCTTGGGACCATGAATCCCTTTTCTGCTTTCATTGCAAAAAAGAAATCACAGGAATTCACAGGTCAGGTGAAGAGAGTCTCATGACTCATCGCTTTGTATCTAAATCAGAGTCTGGGGGACTAATGGGCTCTGGTAAATCCTAGAAATCTACCTTCAATACCTACCTACCTCCCCCTGACCTCCTGTTTAGGTGGCTATATGCAGGCACTCAGATTTCAGGACCAAAGTCTTTTCCTATTATAATTCAGAAATACTAAGGTCCCCAAATGAGTCTGAGATTTAGGCTATTCAGCAAAATTTTTATTTGAGAAGCACATCCCTGCTAGCTCCAGCGATTACAGTTGCTATTCATATGAATGTTGGCAACATTTTATTGTGGGGGTCAATTATGGTCATTTACCATGATGACATAATAACAACTGCAAAAATGTGAAAGCTAAAGTAGGGTTATTATTACTGTTTGTAAAGTCTGTGTCCCAGATGTTCCTGCCAGGGGAGAGAAAAGCTGGAGAGCAGAGATAGCTGACAGTAGTGCTAACCATTCAAATCACCAGTGGATTGAGCAATTTGCAAGACGAGGGATCGAACAAGAGGCAAAACTGGCATCTGGGTTTCACAGCTTCCTCACCTTGAACGGCAACCTGCACTCCCTGACACTTAGCAGAGACATCCTCCCCACCCCACCACCCTCTCCCACCACCTTTCCACTTTTTGCACTGTCCTGTAACCCCAGACCAAGAAAAAAAAAAGAAAAGAAATACAAGCAATGATCATACCAGAGAGAGGACCCAACAGCCAATGTCATTCTCTGATATATAGCCTAGGAGGAATTTATTTCCAACTAGTAGAGGATTGGGGGGCTCATAAAACTGTATAGCTTCAACCCAATGAAATAAGGTTAGTAAAATACATAAACTCTGATACAGCCCGTGAAGTATGCCTCCAGTCACCTGCAATTCACGAATGGCATTGTGATAGATATTCCAGCTGCCCGCCTGTTCCCTGACAGCTGTGACCAGTGTATGCCTTTAAGCAACTTTCCCTCTTACTCATTTCCCACCCTTGTTCTCCCCACCACTTCCATGTTGGTCACTGCCACATGTGAAAATGCAGCATCGAGTTTCCCTGATGGCAGAACTCAGAGCTTAGCAGTGATGCTATCAGTACTCCTTGAATGATAACAGCTCCTATGACAAGCACCAGCATGAGACAAAAGCACACACTTGTAAAATGAAAAATACAACAATGGCTGAATAGTTGAAAAGGTAATAAAAAAAAATGCCCAGCTCTGATAATGACCGTTCCCTCCCTCCCCAGCTCCACTATCAGCAACACAAGAAAAAATACAGAAGGCAGAAACTCCCAATTTTTTTTTGTACGTGGTACTTTAGTCAATGTGATGTTAAACAAGCTCCAATCATTAAAATTGCTGTTATTCATTAGGCAAAGAGATGTACTTGAATTGTTACTTTAGTACCATTGTTCAAAGTCTCTGGAATAGCTTTGAAAAAGTGGACCAAAAAATCCACAGCTATAGTTTACAACCAGAATTGTAAAAGTACTTTCCCTCTATTCGCTCCATGTTAAACATGGTAATAATAGTAATAATACCTTGTATTTATGGGATAGCTGTCTTCTGAGGAGCACAAAGTGCTCACAAACAGTAGAGCTTTCATCCTCAAAAGCATCCTTTTCAGAAAGGTTGGGGGAGGTATTATTATCCTTGTTCTCATCAGGCCAAAAATATGTTGTTTGTGTTAAAGAACTGCCTATGAGGTGCTAGCCGGGTATGGTGGCAGTTGAGGGGATAGTGAGCCTGAGTAAGAAGAAAATTCTGTGTATTTTTTTAAGCACCAGAACTTAATGTATAGTCAAGTTCAATTTAACAAACACTTATTAAGGAACTACTATGTGCAATGCACATGTGGGTGGAGATACAAAAAGAAAGTTATCAAGGAGGTTGCCATCTACTGTAGGTGCAGTGATGGCTGTCCCTCACATGTGTAGCAAGACAATTGTCATTGTATGGCTCATATAGACATCTTTAGCTTCTTCTTCTCATTATCCTTCTCCAGGGGAAACTTTAATTCCTTTCAGGAAGGGAAGCAGGAGGTTGGGGCCAGAAGCTTGGATGCTTTGCTCTCTTCAGAGAGAAGTGTTACTGGGTTATAATTATATCTATCCACTCCCTCAAGTATTACTATTATCATTATTATTAGTTTAGAAAATGTTGTTTTCTGGTTCAAGCTAAACTTCTGACTGCTATTCATTAGTGAGAAAAAGAAGATTTAAATTTTATATCTAAGGCTTGACTTTCTTCCCACAAATACCAGTTCTGCAATGAACACATGTAGTAGGGAACAAAGAAACTCATTTATCCAAAACAATAGCACAACAGAATTCAGAGAAAGTATACATAGGATAATACATACCAGACAATACAGAGTGAAGGTGCTCTTTCATTGGGAGCAAGATAAATCAGCTCAACCAGGAGAGAATCCCAGATCTCCCTGAGGGGGCATTCCTCTTAATCTCTAGAGTAGCAATGTGGGGCAGGATCCTGATGGAAACTGCCAGCTCTTCTCATGTTGGTTTCTTCCCAGATTCTTATTCTCCTTTCAGCAACTTGAAGAGGGATTACATCATACTTCTTCTCTCTTAAAATGGAATCCAGAAGTGCCCAAAGCAACTGCAAAGCCCAAAGAGATTGCAGAGCCTGAAAAAACTCAAGAACTTGAAGAGACCAAACCTCCATTCTAGCTCTCAGCAATTCCACCGTGGCCTTTGCTCAAGCTCTGGGCATTGATCTCTACCAATGAGGAGAAAAATCCCATACCAATAGGCATTGGGACTTGGGGTTGCATAGGGATGAAACACATGCACAAATAGATAGTAAACAAGATGTAATGTAATAAGGATAAAAAAGAGCTCTAGAAAAAATGCTATAAGAAATGTGAGATTGGATGGTGGAGAGAAAGTGAACACTCAGAGAACACTTCATGTGTCCCAGTGGTATATGCTGGGTATGGATCGTGATTAATTTGTGTGAGGGAGGGAGAAAAAGAGAGAGGTAGTTAGATGGTGTCATTGCTCTTCTTGGGAGTCAAAAAGATACAAGATATTTGAATCAGCCTCAGTTCTAAGGTCAGACACAACCATAGCACAGCAAGGTCTCAGGAAACTTGTTTAACTAATTCTGTGGGAAACCGTGGCTCTCAGCAATATGTAGAGTTGAACTACTTCCAGGAAGCTGACCAGGCAGTTTTTCCTGATGGCACATGATTAGGCAGAGGTCGCAAGGGCTACAAGCCTGCTGCTGCTCACTTCTGCATAGAGAAAAAAATCCCGTAGTGCCAGTGACCCCATAGATACTTGAGCTCCTTCTACTCCATTGAGTGGTACAATCCAGCTGTTGGAGAAATTTTGGGATGAAGTTCAAGATAATTGCTCTGGAAAAGTCATTCATATCACTTGAAAGTTTCTCTCCTCCCTCATTCTGGTAAGCAGAATGCTTTCTACCAGTTAGTCAACAAGCATTTATTAAGAGTTTACAATGCGTCAGGGCACTTTGCTAAGAATTGGGGATACAAATACAAGAAGACAAAAAATATTCTCTGTTCTTAGCGAGTTTCCATTCTGACAAAGAAAGACAACATTCAAAAGGAAAGCTACCACTCTGATTCTTATAATCTAACCAATAGCTTACTAATGTTCAGACTCCTTAAGAGTCTGCCTAATATGATGGATGTTCTAATAAACCTTGTCTTTGGCTGAAAAAAAAGGAAAGCTAAACAGAGGGGCGGGAAAGAAGGTACACAGCATAGGGAGGATGAAGAGTAGCCTGGATATAGCCTGAAGAGAAATGAAGAGATGGCTGACCTGAGAATCCTTCTCACACAGAGCTTCTGGAAGCAGCCATCCAATCAGAGGGAGGGGCTGCAGGGGCTGCAGGTACTTCTGAGATGAACGTTCCTGGCCTAAAGTGATCTTCCAGGATTAGGAGTTTTCTAGAGCATGGTAGTGGAGTCTGGATTGTACCTTGATGAGAAATAAAATGAATTTATTTACCCATGGACAGTTATGGTAAAATGGACAGAGCATTTCTGATGGTAGTGTCATGGCAGAGGAAATGTGAAGAATTTTCATGATTCTCTTAAGTCACTATAACTCTGCTAATACACCCAGACACTAGGATGTAGCGTAAGCTCTCCTGAACCCCGCCTTTCCCCCTTGCATTTAAAATTTTAATAACTAGGCCCAAAATAGATTCAGATGAGATAAGCAGATGATCTAGTGTGCCCTGTTTCTAAAATAGCAGAGGTGTTTCTCAGTGTTGCTTCTACCTAAAATCTGAAACCCCTCAGCATGATAAGAATGGCATTTCCAAAGAGAAAATGGCTTAATTAGTAATGTGAAGAGTTAGTGAAGTAATTTCACACACATACACTTTCATCTTTGACAAAAATATGCCTGCTGCATGAACTGAATCATTATTTAATATTTAAAGGGACCTGCTGCCATTGAGGAGAATATCCTTGTCCTCTAAAGAGTACTCATAGGGGACGTATGTGGCCACCGACAGGAAGAAACTCAAAGGGTCTCTGTGCCAAGCAGAGACAAACAGAACAAAGGCAGTCCTCAGAGCACCAATCATCCAGTTTTTCACCAAAAGAGAACTCAGGATTCCAGAGCATGACCTTTCTAATACAAGAACTAGAATCCATGCCTGATATATCACAATGTGTATCATCATTCTCCTGTTTGTGCAATGTTTCCAAGGCTGTGGTTATAAACTCAGTATTATCTAGACACACAGTGTCACCCCATTAGAATACTGCAAGAATTTCATGATAGGGAAACATGCAATAAAAAAATTTCCACTGAAGCATGATCAAAGAATATTTATGAAGAATTCCAAGGGTGCCACAGATTAAGGAAGTGATGGGGGGGAAATGTAGTCAAATGAAAAGAACACTGGATTTTGCAAGGCTGTGCATCAAACCCTGCTTCTACTATTTGCTGCCTGTGCAATCTCTGGCAAGCCTCAGTTTCTTAATTTTTATAAATTAGAAAGTCAATTTAAATGAGATCTAAAGATCATTACAGTTTTATATCCTATGACCATGTTATGATCCTACATCATCCCTGCCCTCAAACTTAAACAATAAAAACCAGTACCAAAGGATTGGAGGTTATAAAATTGAAGAGAGAGATAGTTATGCCTTCACACACACACACACACACACACACACACACACACACACACACACGTGCGTGTGCCTATATCATTAGAGTATCTTTCCCTCTGGTTATTACCATGGCAGTGCTGCTGATGGGTTGAGCTCCCCTTCTCCCTTTATGCCATCAGAGAAGCCTTGCTAGGGGGCATTGCCTCTACTCTAACCTTAGCCTCGCATTCAAGAACCCTCCCCCCAATATGGCTGTTATTTTTCCAACTTTATACACTCTTCATGAATCCCTCCATTCTAGTCAATCTGATCTATTCATTATCCCCCAAATCTACCATGTAGATTCCTGCCTCACCATTTTGTTCATAAAAGTTCCTCAACTTGGAACGTCCCCTCACCTTTTCTCTGAATGACCACTTTCCCTCTAAGTACCCAGATCTATCTTACCTCCTTCAAGAAACTTTCCTCTGATAAGGGACTCATTTCTAAAAAGATAGAAAATTAAGTCAAATTTATAAGAATACAAGTCATTCCCCAATTGATAAATGGTCAAAGAATATGAGCAGGCAGTTCTCAGATGAAGAAATGAAAGACATCTATAGTCATATGAAAAAAATGCTCTAAATAACTATTGATTAGAGAAATGCAAATCAAAACAATTCTGAGGTACCACATCACACTTATCAGATTGCCTAACATGACAAAACAAGAAAATGATAAATGTTGGAGAAGATATAGGAAAATTGGAACATTGTTGGAAGAGTTGTGAAATGATCCAACCATTTTGGAGAACAATTTGGAACTGTGCCCAAAGGGCTATAAAAATGTGCATACCCTTTGACCCAGCAATAGCACTTCTAGGGCTGTATCCCAAGAGATCATACAAATGGGAAAGGACTCACATGTACAAAAATATTTATAGCAGCTCTTTTTGTGGTGGCAAAGAATTGGAAATTGAGAGAATGCCCATCAACTGGGAAATGACTGAACAAATTGTGGTATATGAATGTAGTGGAATACTATTGTGCTATAAGAAATGGTGAGCAGGCAGACTTCAGAAAAACCTGGAAAGACTTGTATGGACTGATACTGAGTGAAATGAGTGGAACCAGGAGAATGTTGTACACAGTAACAGCCACGTTTTGCCGTGACTAATGTTGATAGACTTAGCTCTTCTCAGTAATGCAAGTATCTAAGATATCTCCAAAGACCTCATGATTGAAAACGCTATCCACATCCAAAGAAATGGAGTTTGAATGCAGATCGAAACATACTATTTGCTATTTTTTTCTTCTGTTATGTGTTGTTTCCTCTTTCTGGTGGTTCCTCCTATTGGTTCTAATTCTTGCTTACAACATCACTAATGTGAAAATATGTTTAATAGGAATATATATGTATAGCCTATATCAGATTGCATGCTGTCTTGAGGAGGGAGATGGGGAGAGAGGGGGAGAAAATTTAAAACTCAAAAGCTTATGAAAGTGATCGTTGATAAATCAAAATAAATTAATAAAAAAGAAAGAAACTTTCCTTAGTTGGCCCAGCCCCTCAGGGATTATTTACTCAAATTCATTAAACATTTATTAAATTCATAGTTATCTGCCAGGCATTGTGCTAGGTGGTGGAGTGTTTTTCTTCTAAGACAAAGACAAAAATGAAACTGTCATTGCCCTCAAGAAACTTTTATACTCCTGGAGGCATGGGGAATCTTGGGAGGTAGAAACTCTCCACACAATTAAGTGAATACAAGAAGGGAGAAGAGTAACAACTGTGTGGAATATGAAAGCCCTTTTGTAGGCTGTGGCACTTGAGCTGAATCTTGAAGGGGGCTAGAGTTTCCAAGAGTTGGAGGTAAGGAGGGAGAAGAAACTCTCCCTTCTGAATATCTATAGCACTCTTACTTCTAACACTTATTGGACCCTTAGCCTATGCTGCCTGGAATTGTCATTCAACTCATTGTCTTGACTCCAAACTGTGTCCAAACTGTATCTTTTCAAGTGGCAAGACTGTTTTATATTTTGCCACCCCAATCAATACTGTGTATATATTTGATATCAATGAACAAGATTTGCAATAGAATAAAAGAAAGTGAAATCAATAAATGATGTGCTATGTTTTCTCAAAGAATGAGTAAGAAACAAAGATAATTGGGTCTGGGTATTAGCTTGCATCTGCTTCTATTGAGTTTGTAAATTCATTTATTATCTGTTTAGTACCTGTTATATGCAATGTTCTATTTGTGAAGTCTTTCTCTGGAAGCTGCGATTCAAACGGTGGGAAGAAAACAAAGTAATGATTTTAGAAGACATGGAGAAAAAAGGAAGAACCGCACTTTGCCCCAATCCCAGTTATTTAAAAGTGAGAGCAGGAAAAGGGAGGGTTGATGGCAAGGGTAGCAAAAATACAAAAGTGGCCAAATCAGTACGTCAAGAATTGTAATTTTGTTGGTTTGAGCAAACTCCGCCAAAATCAGATTACAACTTGTCTATAACTCTGGAGAAAAGTCAAGCAACTTTCTGTTTGTTATGCAACACATATGTGTCAGAGGTAAGATTTGAATCCAGTTCTTTTTTACTTTGGGTCCAGTCCTCTCCCCATTATATCACATTATCTCTTAAATAGATAGGTAGATAGCTTAAAATAAATTATTATAAAAGTCTAGCAAGGCTTTCAACAGATAGAAGCAAAGATCATGGCTAAAAGTTTGCTACAAATATCAATAGATATGAAAGGATTTTCAGTAAGACAGTGTCATCAGTGAATTTAGAGAAGATAACTTTAGAAGAGGTATTTGGGATGAGATGAAGAAGAGGAAAAAAATAGGTGGAACAACATAAGTGTCTGAAAACCAAGAAAAGATTTGGGTAATCTGACTAGCACATGATGGTATGCAAAAAAAATGCATATTGAGTGAATGAGTGAATGAAGGAATGAATGAATTTTTAAAAATCAGGTTTAAGCAACATTGTGAAGAGAGAAATGGCAATCTT